CGAATATAAAATTTAATTTTGCGATTTTTTGTATCGGAGTTTCATTAGATTTACGATGCTTACGACAACCTTAAAACGTTGACAAATTCCAAACCATTCGATTTTCTTCTTCCTAAATTGTAAAATGTTGTTAAACAATTTTTTTTGTTACAAAAATTTGGATATCAGTGGTAAAACTCAAAACGGATTCATAAGTCACAAGTGTAGGGTAGGATTAATTTAAATTTACGATAAATGTAAAATGACGCCATCATTTTTGAGCGGACACATAAACAATACACACATTAAAATGTTTGCAAGATTGCAAAGCATTCGGTTTTGCAATTTAAAAGCTAAAAAAGTTCGGTGTTTCTATCCGTTCTCAAAATATAAGAGTTTTATCTGAGACACGTGTAATTTATAAATATTTTCCGACTGAAAGAATCCTTTGTTATAATCAGCACAAATTTATACAGTGAAAACCTACAGTAACAAATTTATTACCTTTAATTCAGTTTTAGACTGAGTCAGAGGATGAATGCGTTCAAGCAGATGTCATCTACATACATATACAGACTTTTCTATAGTCTTTCATATATTGGTTCATTATCTTCTGTTTACTAGACTTAGTGCTATAGATTTTTCGCCAGGTTCACTTAACCTTGTTATCTACAACAACAGGGTCGCCACAGGGTTCAGTCTTAGGGTCACTCTTATTTAATGGGATTTATAAATAATATAAATCAGAACTAGATTGTTGAACATTAATTGTATGCTGATGATTTAAAAATATTTACAAAAATACACATATTTTCCGACAAAACAATGGATTAGTATGAAGTCCACAAATTCCGGGCCTATGCAGAAAAGTAAGGAAAGTGTTTCCTGTTGTATCTTATTTTAGAAACCAAAATCTAATATATTTTGCTGATAACATAGGTGAATAAGACTCAGCAATGTTCACTATAAATTTTATTTAAATTGTAGTCAGGTAGTAATATTCACACAACATAAACAAATTTAACTAGATATCTTTATGCAAACCAGCATTGATAAAATCTTAAATTTTCGTTACTGTAACTAATAACAACATATAACAGATAATTCTTTATTAAACTGGTTTGATAAATTTAAACGTACTTACTTAAATATTGGTTCTACTATGTGGTTGTTTCTTAAATCTATAATTTTCAAAATTATAAGCTTTAATCTGATCATATCCAAATCCATCTATATATCAAACCTTCGTGATTACTGATTACTAATAGATATCATCAAATGAACGAAAAAAGGTTAAACTAGAGTTGACCCTAATTTTAATATTTTAGTTGGCCATAATTTGTAATTTCCTTATTATGATGTTAAAATATTTTTAGATCAAGATTAATTGTTACTTTGATATTGAAAGATGTTTCGCGGATACTACATATCAAGTGACACTGAAGCTTTGACAGTTTCATAGACATTAGAACCCAGCAGAAAACTAGTTATTCTCTGCCGTCTGGCGCTACGAAACCCGATCCTTTTTTTATGGCAGGTGTTCAATGACATAGGCAAAAGTTTAACGTGATTGCTGAAATTATTTTTGAACATGCACACATCGCTGACCATAAACAGGTAAATCTGCAAATTAAATGATGCGGTTCATGAGATGAGAAATCTTCGAATGTAATGGTCCGTGAAGCATAGCATAGATACCAGATTTATTAATTTAATTGCCTGGTATCAGATTTTACAAAGGTGGAAATATTATCCATTAATATTACTGTACAGTAATGGAAATGAGAGTAAATACGTTCTGTGCTTATAGAAAGCCGCCATATTGCAAACAAGTTAAAAATTCACCGATAATAAACGAGAGTCTTCAAGAAAAACTGAAATTTAAAATTGGTTGCTTTCAGCTACCGTGCCGTAACAAACCGGTGGTTAATTAAACGCCTCATTTTGCGCAAATAATACCTGAAACTGTGATGAACTGTCGACTTGGCAAAAACCCAACTTTACCCATTAAGAACCTTTCGGCCACCCAAGCCGAATCTGCCTAGAACTTGTTTTTGTTTTAATATTTATACAGTGAGCTATACAAAAAATGCGTAATTTTTCTTTCTAATTGATGATAACTGCTCGGCTGGTAAAAACCCAGAACTCCACTTTATATCCGAAGAAGAAACCCCCTTTATTATCTCTTAGAGCAGGTAATTTAAAAGAATTAAGAATTTGCCAAAATTAACCTTCATTAGCTTCTTTCTTTTCCCCTCGCATTCTACTTTATAAGAAATCATTAGAAGCAATAAATTAAAAATTTGTGAAAAAAATTCTCCCCTAACAATTTCTTGAAGAGCGGGTGGTAATTACGTAACTGTTGCGTCATCAATTTTTAATAGAGTGGATTGTTTTCTTCCCCGTTCTCGTGATGCTCGACGATTATTTTGTAGTCCGCCCACTTGCTCCTAATTATTCCTCCTCTTTGGCCATAAATCATGTTAGGAATTGTGTCTCACGGTAATTCGGAGAGACAAAAACTCGGCTAATCATAGAGATAATCCATTGCTCGCCGATTATTTGTTGATTACGACAGACGCCGCCACCGATCATTACCGAAAGAATTAGAGAATTTTTCTCGATGCTGTTGCATAGCGTTTCTTCACGCTGCTGCATTGTGAAGAGTTTAATTCGGAGGACAAAACTGTGAATTCATCTCCAGGCTGAATCAAATAGTGAGAGTTCTTGTTGCTTTTCGAACACCTGCCCACCGGGATGTTAATAAACAGATTGTAGCCGTAATTGCAGGAAATTACTGGGTATTATTAAAATCGGCACAATCTTTTCGATGATTTCCTTCGCGATTTCATCGAGGCGTTCGACGATGCTCCAGATTTGTTTCAAACGCATTCCATTCCGCAGTAATGATTCCTAACAAAAGAATATTATGGCTAAGCTATAGTGGAAGGGAAAAGTAATTTTCATATTATTACTCTACTAGAAATGCGCCTCATTATGGAGAAATTTACCTTAGCATGAAACACAAAGGCCAATCATGCTATACATATCTGGGCAGTTATTAGTAATCGTGCGAGAGTACCTAATCTAAAATTTTAAATTTTCACATCGTCTATTATAATAACGAAAATAACAATATTAATAACAATTACCAACTAACTAATATAATTGAGAAAGGTTTTCTATTGACACAGGACCTAAAACTATTTGGGTTTTCACCATCTATTGACCATACTATAAGCACATAATTGACATTTTTTTAACACTTTTCCTTTTCCACATAAAAAAAGAAAATCAAGGCGGATTCATAAACCCCAAATATATGTTAAGTATGTTATATTACAAAATTGTTAGGTTAGTCCAGTAGATCTAAGATTATCAATCTAATAAATATCGATAGGCAGACAGACCGGCTGACGGACATACGACAAATAAAGGGAAACGGGCGATCTATTTTTTCATACTCTAGGGGTGATGAAACGTCAGGAAAACTTGAAAGTAGCCGTTCGCCGAATAAACCCTATTACAATACTTCCCGAACTTACGCTTGAGAAGTAAAAAATAAGTCAAAAAATAACACTCCTACAATCTAATTCTATTTTAGCTATTACTGATTTATTAGTGTGTTATGTAAATCTATAATAGTTTCTAACCGGATGTATTTGCCACATTCTCATTACATGTTGTTAACTTTTACGTTAAAAACTCACGTCTAACTACTTTTTTGAAACATAATAAGAGTTTGCAGAAAGTTAGACGCCAGTAGGACTAAATAAAGAATATTTATAAATTTATAATATTACCGGCATTTCCTCGCTAGAAGTGATTACAAAAATTATAAAATTACAGTGCAATAAGTTTTTTAGTCGACTTCAGAACCCTAATTATAGATTCCATTACGCCATAGAGGTAACGCAATTTACTAGTGTCGTTCCATTGGATAGACCATCTAATCTGTTAAAGTCAACGAAGTTGATAAGTGTTATCTTTAATGTGTTTGGAAAAAATGTTCTCGCCGCCCATTGTTGGTTGTGAGAATGAATTAGCTAGAAGAAAAGCGTCATTTTTGGCAAAATCTTTTGCAAGGCTTAAAAATTGGTCTAAGGTTATTTAAACAGAACTTCTCTGACACCTGAATAAAGTCACACATTCAAACATATTCAGTGTTTAGAAAAAAAAAAAAAATAGACGAGGATGAGATTCGAACTCACGCGAGTATAGTGGTTTTTGATTTTGTAGACACGTCCTTGATGTAGGAAGTACTTGCTAGAGAGAGGAACGGAACTTTAAACCAACAGTAGTTCCTGCATTCCAATGGTCGTCTGGTGAATGCAGGTATTGGAAAGTTATTGAATGTGAAAGATGGGAAGTTGCTGGTAATCTGTTGATAGTACATCCCGATAATGGTATTGTAAAGGAGAAGCAGACATGTGGAAACTGATTCATAAATTAACTTGAATAAAATTGTATCAGTAGTTCGTTGTTTCAAGCTTCATCCTTTTCCTCATCTTCAACTTTAAATTTATGATAAGTACTTCCCTTGGTGACTGTACTTAATTCCAACTTGGTCACTCTGATCGTAATCACTAATTTTGCAAAATACCTGGTAGGCCTGGTTTATCTATTATTATTACGAATAGTATTGGCTAAAATTTTAAATGTTTAGTTTTAATCCAGTTGGTACTAGAAAATAGCAAAAAATGACAACAAAACGAAAAACCAACGAACGAACTGACAGGCGATTTATATTTAACGTAAATACATTTTTTTTTTTCTTATCTCGAAAGTTATGAAAGTATGATGACATTCATAAAATCTCTTCTTTCTTATCATTTCAAGATAAACAGTAACCCAATTAAACTTGCTTGCATATACATACGCTTACGATTGTAAAGTGATTTTAAAGTCATACGTGATAAAAATAGAATTTTTTAAGATTAGAGGTCCGCAAATTCAAAACACCTTGAAATCGGGGAACCCCAGACACAAGAGCAGAAATTTCCTTAGTGATTTAAAGAAATTTATCACAAAAAACACGATTGTATAAATACACGCCACTTCTTCAGTACGTAGTTTAGTTCCAAAATAGAGCTAAAGCACTTCATCGAAAATGGTACCACTTTCCGTTTGGTACGTATAGTTTGCATCTCTTGGTACTGAATAAGGGTGACGTTTTCCAACAGGGTCTACGTACTTATTTTCATTTCTTCTAACATCATCTATGTCAGTTGTACCTGTAGCGACGACTCCTTATTCCTTATACGAAGTACTAGTTCGAATTTAGTCGTGGACGCTAGTTTCCCAACAATAACCCTTCAGCACTTAGATGGATACACCCCACAACTGTGGCAGTTCAAACAAAGTAGACCTGGAGTATATTTTATCATAAACAACAGCACTGGGTGAATATACACTTAGCCAAAATTTCAAACTTTGGATAATTTTCCTTTTTTTATTTTAGTAAAGCACTGGATGTAGCAGACGACAACGAAACTCTACTACTTTCCAAAGTAGACGAAAACTCTGTAAAACAGCAGTGGTTCGTAAATTCAAACGGTCGTATCCTAAACGTAGGAGTTAAGAAAAACTTGGATGTAGTAGGTGGAAAATTCACTGTTAATAACCCTATAAGAGCATTCCCCAATAATGGTCATGTGGCGCAAGAATTCGTTGTCAAAGAGAAACGTACTTGTAACTGAAAACGTCCCTTGCATTTATTTTGTTGTTGTATATAACATTCCTTCCATTTATTTTTTTGTTGTTGTTGTATATAATACAGGTAATTAGTACTTTTTATAACATTTTGCCCCTCTCCTCGCCCACAAGGCCACCTTAAATCAAAAAACCTTATAAGCACTCCCGAATTATTCAAACCAGCTAGTTACAAAATCCTCTGAAAAATGGTGCTTCCGGCCAAGTGGTACGTATAACTCACACTTTTGCGTCGTTTGTACTGCTTATTAAGAAAAACATTATTAACTCGACAAAAAGTTGTTACAACTTTGTCATACTTCTAAATTAGAAACGCTTTAGAAACAATAATTATTTTTCAGAAATAATTTGTAACCATAAACAAATTAAAAAAAAATGTGTTTGGAAAAAAGAATGAATTAGCTATAAGAAAAACCGTCATTTTTAGCAAAACCACCTTCTGCAAGTCTTAAAAATCGGTCTAAGATTATTTAAACAGAACTTCTCTCACAGTGAATGAATTCACACATTCAAACATATTCAGTATGTTGGAAAAAAAAATAGACGAAGATGAGATTCGAACCCACGCGAGTATAGCTCAAGTTCAACGCTGAGGCATGTAAAACCGCACCGTCGCTGATATATGTATCATTATAAACAAAGTAACCCTCCGTGGCAAATATTGCGCAAAAAATTTTGTGAAGTAATTGTGATAAAAAACAAGGCGGATTCATAAACCAAAACTTGAGGAACATATTGTTTTATAAAATTTGAATGGTATTTACCAGACAAAATGTTGAGGTGACGTTAAAGAAAAAACTTGTGATAAAAAATTAGTGGAAGGTTATTTCGTAAATGTCATTTATCTCACAATTTTCAGAAGATTTGTGTGTCATAAGCAATACTCAGGAACGTGAGTTTAACCACGTTTCAATTTGATAACAATTTAGATTAAGAGTGTGTCACTTATGGATCATTAAATTCCATCTTTTTGCATTATTTCTACTTCGGTAGCTTTATACCGTGAAACGATAACCTGACGTTTTGATTAAGGAAGTTAGCCAATTATAGTAGTATTATGACGGGGGTTTTAGGTCCTTTTGGCCTCAAATGAGCTAGCCCAGAGCCCCATGGCAGTTCTAGTACACTTGACCCCAATTGATTTGTGGGTTAAAGGCCAAAATGGACAATAGCGTCATCAGACAACAAATGGATCAAAATGGCCTAGAACCCCCAGTATATAACTACTAGTTGCTTTTTGAATAAAATATTATTATGTTATTGTTACTAAGTAATTCTCATACAACTAATTACTAAAACTCTTCTATTTTTATTAATTCATCTTAAAAATCACAAATTTACTTACATTTTACCACCATGAAACCTGTTGAAACTAATTTTTAGAAAAACCGTCAATGTAGTTTTCACTAAAGTAGTGTTCGTTATACCCAAAATTTTTGTCTGTTTATACATTTTAAGATACAATTTTTTACGCAGTTTTTGATTTTCTACGTCTGTAACGTTTTGGCGCTCAGATGTAGTGGCTAAAGCTTTGATAAAGTGGGTTCCATTGAAAAAATCACCAAGTTTGCGCTGCTTTTTTGATAAAAGAAAATGTAGTGAAAAATGCATGTGTTGTATTAATCCATACCGTTGTATATAATTGACATTTTTGCGTTGACAGTTGTCCTCGAGTAAACGCAATTTTTTATTTTAACGTCTAAGGGTAGTCATAACAAAATAAAATTATCAAAATTAAATCTTATAATTTTTCGAAGAAGCTGTATTTGTTCGCATTTGTTCTGTTTAAAAAACTTCAGTTCATTTTTTTTATATTTCAGCAGTCATCACACCTGTTCCTAACAACACAGTGAGTTGTAGATATCATCTGTCAAGTGTCAATTATGCAGAACAGATGGTATGCACGAATAAAATACTGTTACGAAATAAACCCATACGCCGCCTCGGTGCAACGCCTATGGGCCGTCGAGTCCTTTCTGGTATGTACGCCGATGATGACTCATCGTCAATGACAGCGATCGAACGGCGGAGCGCTAAAGAAACGCCTGGAAGCGGAAGTGGCGAACGGCAATTCAGAAAGATCCCGATCGCCGCACATCTGGAAGGAAGTATGGCTTTTGGCCACTTTCGGGAACGATTATTATTCAATCAACGGGTCAAGTCGAGTGCATTTTCAGAATCCAGTTGCGCCGGAATTATTTTGTACAAAATCGCTGTGTAATTCGGCGTGTAAATTTGAGTTACTAGGAAATAAATTGTTGAGTTCAAGCCACGCCCATTCTATTCACCGATCAACGCAACAATACATGCGATTTTCGCTACTTTTTCTTCGATCGAAAAAGCATCGCAAACCTGACTTTTTCAATTAAATGCCCGTTGTTATTATTATGATTATAAAATAAATTATATCAGAGAAGTTAATATTTTTTGTAAATCAGACTCTGGAATATCGTTTCTGTTTAAAATAACGTGGTTTAAAATTTAAACCAAAGTACGGCTTCACGTAATTTTGCCGGATCTCATGCTTATGATAATTATTGAATCATTTTAATTTCCGCCTACTTATGTATATAAAATTTCTATATGTACCTTTCAGTGATTTATATTAGATGTACAGAATCTTTTCTTCTTTTGTTCGTTCCGTCTCCTTTGTCACTCTTATTTGTAATTGCAAAAATTAGTTGAACTTGTATAAATTTGAACCGTTGAAATGCAATCCAACAAATCTCGTTTTATCGATAAAAGCAGTAACAATGTAATAAGAATAAACAGCCATTGAGGAAATCGAACGCGCGATGCGCCACCGAATCGTAGACTTTCTTTTCGCTTATGGTTGTTAGGTATTTTCGATTTTTTGCGGAAAATTTAGATGCCTAAGGGAAAAACTCAAAGTGGATTTATAAACCAGGAATATATTATTTTATCAAAATTTACATAATGTTTAATATGGAAAATTTTGAGAGGACGTCCTCAAATAGCTGATCTGGATAATTAGAAAAATTTTGCTTATCGTTTTACCGTTTACAGACATTTTTAAAATGCATACAAAATTTGACAACAACCGGTCCAATAGTTTCGGACACAGACAGACACACAAACAGACAGCGTAGTATGTATTAGTATGAGAACAAATAGTAAAATGCACTCTTAATCATTTTTCAGCAATCAAGCAAGCAAGCAAAGCAACCAAGCAAACAAACACAAAAAAAGAAACTATAAACGAAATAATACGTAAATCAAATTAAATATTCCACGACAAAATAAGAATGCGCTTCAGCATTACAAATAATAATAAAAATAATAAAATAATAATATGCTCTTATTAATAATAATAAAGAGGATATTTTAACGAGAATCAAATTATTTCTGAAAATACCAATCACATTGTACAATTTGGTCCAGTGAAAAGCAAACGATCTTATATCTCCAATCCAGAACACCATGTTTCCGTGAATTCCAAGTCTTGAATGGGTTGTAAGTGTGAAATTCCGATATGATTTCGAATTTGAAAAATCATGATAAAGCGATTTAGTGAATTTAACAAACTCTGCCTGAAATTTGATGGATTTTATCGTAAATCCGATTTGTTTCAGCATCCGAGTTTTGTCATCACGGGGAAATGACTTTTACGGAGCTCACGTTTATAACGACGTAAATGATAACTGCAGGCAGTTCTTTCAATTTAATTTGTGGCTTTAATTGATCTGATCGACTGTGTACACGTAACTAACAGATTCGATTGTATGTATTTATTTTTAAGCAAACACCACATTCAAATGAACCATCTCTTGGAACGATCCCCGATAATAATTTGCGTTTTATGTCTGTTAAGGATGAAATATTTTACATATGTATACACATCATTTCACCATTTGAACCAATAACAGAGAAAAAAAGTTTTGAAGTTTAAAAAGATACCGCTGTTTACGAAAGCTAATAAGATGAACTTGCGAGTCGAATGAGTCTCAGCATCCGTTAAAAGAAAATGATCTTCCCAAACTTGCCGAAACAAATTAATGTCGCAAGGGCTATCGTTTAGCATAAACGATTCATTTTCATGTCAACATACAGCAAATAAGCTGTTGTCTGCTCCAACGGCTGCCACAATACAAATACCAAAATCACTAAACATTTATCACTGACTTCCCGTGTTAAACTTGGACCCTGTTCATTTCTCTGGAATTGCTTCGCTTTGTGAGTTTTCCGCATTTCTGACCGCTTGTAAAATTCCTCTTTTGTCACTTACCGTTTCCTCTTTGTCGTCATCGTCCTTGCTTTCTGAAATACACAATGAAACAACACGAGTTTTGTATCCTAGAAGGACGAGATCTAGGATTTCGTGCCCCATTCGAGGTTATCCTTTTATTTGTGTATGTTATACGGCATCATCTCCGTCTGAATAAATAATATCGTTTGCGTTTATATTTTCATCCGAAATGTTGATACCACACACAAATTTACCGCCCTGAGCCGCTTGAAAAGCATAACATTAGTTGATTAATCTCCACAAAAAGTTTACGCCCGGAGATATTTACAGATATATTCTACATGTTGGGTATTTAGGAAACACGAAATTACTATTCATATATTTGAGGCCCAAGGTTCTGGACTTTATTAAATGCCTCAAAAGCCGGCAGTGTAATTCTTTATGAGTTCCTTTATGCAAATTATTCCGTAATAAGTATCTGCTCTGTATTTGTCAGTAATTAATTAAGATAAAATCCTTACGTTCGAGCAAAATCTCCTTTCTCTTTCTTTTAGTACCAATTAAGTTATAAAACTGTCCGCAACCCGCAATTAAAAGTTATTAATAATAAGTGATACGAGTGGACACATCGCGAACTCTTTTCCATGTTTATCGTCTTGCTGGAAGTCGTCTAGAAAAGTCTCTTTCATTCCCAAATTGCCATATTTAGTATTTTAATTTACATATTCCCTTTTACCCAGCCATTAGTTTGATCAAAGACGGCCGTGAAAAGCTCGACTTTTGATGTTGATATTCCTTGCATGCATGAATATCGACTTTCAAATGTAATTTGATCATCACGCCAAAAGCTCTCGGTGTTAATCCAACACGATCCACTTAA